GTGTACTGTCTTAGTATAGCATGTCGAGTTTTGATGCAGTTTAGCTTAGATACAGGAGACCCTGCATTAATTTTCTGCTCAGCCCCGCCATTAATTTTTTCAGGCCCCTTAGTTTTCTTGTGTCCATCTTAGCCCTCGAATTGGAGTTTTCATTGATTGTAAAGTTGCGTTTCAAGTGTTGTGATGGCATTTATGTGTGTATTTTCTTTCACTGTTATTCTATGGAAGGATCTTCTATAATATTATTAAAAATAAACAGCTTCATATATCGTATCGGATCGGCGACATATCGAACCCCGGGGGGTCGAGGACCGGACTCAATGAGTCGAAAAATTTATAGTGGTCGATAAATGGAAATGCAAGGAATCGAAGTCTTTCAGAACCTTGCACACAAATATAATTTTATGTAAATTTGAAATTTGTTCAAACATCAATCTACGAAACAGATGATATACAATTTCTAGAGGAATACAATTTTTATACTTGTAATGATATTTGGACAAACAAATAATTCCGTTCTTTAAAGTTCGTGCAGTTGAAACTGACGTGGCGACAGCTTTATGGTAGGTCGTCAAAAGGGTCTTTGTTAAGAAGGAAAATCAGTCTTTAATAAGAAGGATGCTACCCCTTTAGAGAGAGCAAATTTTCGCAAGAAATGGCTGGAGAGACTCAGGCGGAAAAACACGGAGATCAGGCCAACCACTCTCACGAGGTCAAGATAACACCGGCCGCACACGGTCAGTCAGCGGAGCTGGTAGACAAGTAAGAAGTCATGTCCATAGATTAAGGCCTGTAAATAATGTAAGAAGTAAACGCATGCATCAAAGTGAATGTGCACAAAAAGATTTAATGTTTTAACACAAATTCGGATTCTGTTTTGAACAAAAAAATTGAGCTGTTAACTGTGATCGAAAACGAGTGCATAGACATTATTTGTATTACAGAAACACTCCCTAAAAATCACGGGGGAAAATTGTACCTGTTGAATTTCAATTGCCAGGTTTTGATTGTTTTCATAACTTAAATGTAGAGCAGTCCAGTAGAGATGTAGCTTTGTGGATTAGAACCTCTTATGGGGCCCAGCAAGTCAAGTTATCTACAGAACATCAATCAGCTAGAGAATCAGTGTGGTGTGAACTTTCTCTCAAAGGCAAAGATATCCTCCTCATAGGCGTCGTGTATAGATCACAGTATAGATCACACAAACAGTTCCTCTGATAACGATAAAGTACTAAACAGTCTTTTACCAATCATGGCTTTCCGTAGGTCACACACGTTGATCGCTGTTGATTTTAATCATCCAAAGCTAGACTGGAGAGATGGATCCTCTCCAAGGGATGAGAATCACCCAGCATCCTTGTTCATGGAGTCTGTGAGAGACTCCTTTCTAGTCCAGCACGTTACTAAGCCAATCCATTAAAGAAGTAAACAGACTCCCAATATTCTAGACCTGGTGTTTACTAGTGATAAATCAATGTTAGATGAGCTTCGTCACGAGGCTCCATTGGGCAAAAGCCATCACCAATCGTTGTTTTTCAGTCTAAAGTGCTGTACAGAGAAGACGCCTCGAAAGCGTGAGCGTTTGAATTTTGCGAAAGGCGACTATGATAAACTCCGTGAAGAAGTGAATGCAGTGAATATTTCGAACTGTATTAAGGACATGAATGTTGCTGAGTCATGGTCAAGGCGACTATATGTCAAACTAAGTGAAGAAATGAATATTTCGGACTGGATTAAAGACATGAATGTTGCTGAGTCATGGTCATTTCTCAAGGACACGGTTATGTCTGCAGTTGATGCGTGTGTACCTAAAATTAAGCTTGGTGGAACCAAAAAAAACTCAGTGGATGAACAGTACAGTTCTAGCTAAACTGAAAACAAAGAAGGAAGCCTACCAGCGTTATTTACAGACTCGTAGCGCTGCTGACTATTGTTAGAAATTTCCACATTCCTTAGGATATAAATTTGTTATTTTTCTCCATGCCTATCGTTAGGCATGGGTTTGTAAATAGTAGGAGTTGGCTGTAAGACTTGGTGGTGTAAACATCACATTAATGGTGCTCCGTTAGAAGTGTATAACGCCATTCCATCTTAATTGCTATTTATTAATTTGAGTGATCGCTCTTTGGATTTTCGTTTTATTTATTTATGTAAATAATGCATGTTCGCGCTTTCTTTGGTTAGGAAAGGGCGGACTCCAGTGCTAAATTTGGGTTTGGCATTTTCTTGTGGCTCGACCACCTTAACTTTGAGCTTCGGCTTTTACTCTAATATTGGTTCCTAACCTATTGGGAAAGCTTGATGCTTTCTTAAGCTTAACTTACTTGCTAATTTTGGAGTCTGCCCTCTCTTTCTTCTTCTTTCATTATTTCCCTTAACTTGGCCTCTTAAAATTACAGCTAAGTCCGCTTGCTGGCAAAAGATTTTAAGGTTGGTGCGGGCTGTTGCTATTCTGAAATAGTGCGACATACATTTAGGCTAGTACTGAGTTTATATTATTGTTTTATTTTACAGCCATACTTTTGTTTGTTCAATATAATAAATGCGAGTCTGGTGGGATACGTATTTGCGATCTTTTTGGAACCGTCATCTGCACCTGGCTCAGAATTTAAAGATCCTTCCGAATGTTCTGGGTTGGTAAATTTGTTGCTTCCATGTGCGAATTTATTAAATCTTGTTGAAACATTGAACTAATAGTACGGTTTTACATAATTATATATTTCAAGGTTATTTCTCGATTCCACAGTTATGTTGGGCCGGGCTTGTTCGTCTGTGTAACGTCGGCGAGCCTGTATGAATCAGCTAGCAAGCGTTATTTTTTGGGACTTGGTTCCTTCCTAATTTCTTGTGAATGCGTCTTGATTCCTCAAGCTTGCGGGACCTGTCGTCTATGGGATCAAGCTCCTTGATAAAAGTTCAATCTGTTTACCGTTTTTTGTATTAAGCCTAACACTATAACCTATACACAAGAGCTCGAAATCAAGCTAAAGAAAGCTGTCGCACCGCAGTAAAAACCATCGAAAAAATATTGCTAAAAATGCAAAAAAGAACCCGAAAGCCTTCTTTTTGTACGCTATCTCGAAGTGCAAGATAAAGGACGGTATTTCTGATTTGAAAGTAGATCAACGAAAGATATCCTCTGATGAGGGCAAGGCTAACGTTCTTGATCAGTTTTTCAGTAGCGTATTCACTGAAGAGGACTTGAACAGTATTCCAGCTATTGAGGAGTGCCTAGCTAGTCGGCTCTAAATTAACAAGTTTTGAAATACAAGAAGAAGAGGTTCTCAAGCGCCTTATCGCTGTAAATCCAAACAAGTCATGTGAACCAGACTGCTTCCACCCCAGATTACTCAAAGAGTTAGCAACTGTCCTTGCCCGGCCCTTTGACGTCATTTTTTCGGAAAACTTTTAACGAAGGGATCTTGCCGGCTGACTGAAAAGAAGCTCAAGTGGACACCATTTTTCAAAAAAGTGACAAAAGCTGCCCGGGTAACTATCGCCCTGTCAGTTTGACGAGTGTCGTTTGCAAGGTAATGGAATCTGTTGTGAGGGATCAATTGATAGATCATTTGACTGCTAATAATATCATATCAGGCTGTCAACATGGCTGTATTGCCGGGAGATCCTGCACCATTAACCTCTTGTCTACTCTGAACGAATGGACCCCCCTGCTGGACGAAAGTGAGCCAGTAGATGCAGTGTACTTCGATCTTGCCAAGGCATTTGACAGTGTCCCACATGAGCGGCTGTTGCGGAAATTACAGTCTTTGGGAATTGACAGCAATGTACTCAAATGGATCAGAGATTTTCTAGTTGGAGACGCCAACGTGTCAGTATTAATGGGTCCGTATCAGACTGGGCTTCAGTGCGCAGCGGCGTGCCACAAGGAAGCGTTCTAGGTCCTGTTTTATTCGTTGCGTTTATAAACGATCTGCCAGAAGCTGTGTACTAGCGTGTGCTCGATGTATGCTGACGACACAAAAATTTATAATACAGTGAAGAATACGTCGCAAAAAGTACAGTTACAAGGTGATCTTGACAGGCTGGTTGACTGGGCTTATAAGTGGCAGCTACGTTTTAACGCTGACAAATGTAAAGTAATCCACCTTGGCATGAATAATGAACAGCAAAATTACATTGTGAGAAGACACGGTTGCAACGACAGAGTGATGATGTCGAAGTCGACAGTGGAAAAAAGATTTAGGAGTTAATATCGACAATGAGTTGAAAATTTTTAAGCATATTGAAGGTCAAGTTAATATAGCCAATAAACGACTTGGACTGATCAGACGCTCTTGCGAGTTCCTAGATGCAGAAGCGATGAAGCAGTTGTTAGTTGCTGTCGTGCGCCCGAACCTAGAGTTTGGAAACGTCGTGTGGTCACCGAAACTTGAAAAGGACAAAAATTTAATAGAGAGTGTTCAAAGACGTGCAACAAGGATAATTCCGGGCTTGAAAGGCAAGTCCTATGAGAAAAGATCAAAGATTATGAAGCTTCCAAGCCTCAGTTACCGACGTCTGCGTGGGGAACTCATTGAAGCATACAAGTATACTCATGGTTTATACAAGGTTCCAGAAGGATTACTAGAATTTGAAACAAGAACCCATTAACACCAGGGGCCACGGCTATAAACTAAAAAAACTGCGCTGCAACTTCTCCACGCACCAACATTTCTTATCGCTTCGAATCACCGACATGTGAAACAGCCTATCTATGAACGCGTTCAAGAAAGTATGAACGCGTTCGAGAACAAACTAGATAAAGCTATGGAAAAATATATGTTCAGATTTCGAAATACCTAGCACCATATCGAACCCGGTGGAAGTCGAGTAGCTATTTCAAACTATCGTCAGTCATGAAAAGATCCGGTCAAATGAGACTATTTTAGATCTTCTGTGAACAAGTCACGAAAAGGAAAAGAATCGGCGACAGGCCACATCAGGCCTACACTTCAGCGCCGAGATCACTATGTTATGTTATGTTAAAAGAATGGCTCTTCAAAGGCTTAATAGCCTGCAATAAATTCAATAAGCTCCGAGCACAGAGTTTCGGACGCCGAAGATGTAACCAATGAAGACAACCACGAACGTGAAATAAGAAAGCAGAGACAAGATGGCCAGATATTTGTTCAGCTTGGTTGGAAATGTGAAGTCCTCGGCTTCATCTGTCTCTTCGTCTTCATCTTTATAAGGATGGATCTTCACTTTCTGTAGGAGTAAAGGAACGATTTACTGACTTATGATTATATATAATAATCATTCGAGATGATTGTTAAGCTAGGAATTATTGATATTTTGTGATATCCCTACAGATCGAAAATAAAAAAAGCTGTGACTTGCAAAAAACCTCTCTCAGTTATCTCATTCCGTGATAATCATTAAATTCGCAATTCTAAATATTTTTTATATCGTCCACAGATCTAAAGAAAAACTGAAATCAAAATAGATAGGTCTGTCAATGTATCCACCTCATTTACGAGTGTAAATTAATCTACGTTGAATCAATTTAGAAGTGGAATCCCATTTAGGAGCCAGCGCCGCCTGCACGAAGGCTTCCAGACTGAACTGGTCTCTGAAGCCAGTCATACCATTTTATTCTCTGATGGAGTTTACATTGCCACACAAGAATATCTGAAGGTTTGATGCCCGAATGTTACCATCACGGGGACAAAGCCACCAGAAAATGAAGTACCGCTCCCGCCCTTCAACCATCACTTTGTTTTTCGCCCCATGAAATTTATCTAAAAATGTTTGGAAGTTGCAGGGTTTGGCAGTGAGAGGAAACGCGGCTGTCCAGCCCCACTTTTTACCATCGCTCCCCCCATGGCACTTTCTTGCCTTACCTTCAACCATCGGTCCCCTTCCTCCTTGTCGGGTCCCAGCTTCCGGTTGACTATCTCGAGCAGCACCATGCAGAAGAACGCAACTGCCATGATCAGCACGTGGATGAACATCCACGAGTCGATCATCTTTGGATCTGCCGACACCGGCAGCGTCGAGCTGATCTAAGAGTAAGAAAATTACAATTAAAATGTTTTAACTGAAGAAATAAGCGATCGTAGTGTAACCGAGGGTTACCATGACCCTTTCGCCACAAAGCAAATCTGTAGCATGTTATTTCATATTAAGATGATCCGGGGTTTAGGACCCGAGTTCCGCGGTGTCTTCCACCAAGCGGACCACTTTATACTGGTGGCTTGTGCTAAGAAAAGCTAAGTGCTTGGGTGAGTGCTTGGATAGGATTTTAATTAGCAAGATTTAAAGTTAGGGAACAGTGTATACAATAATTTGTAACGAGTTTCTTTGTAGTAATGCTTCATCTATCAAGCCAACTTCTGTGAAAATCTGATTTTATTTACTGCATGTTAACTGCAATTTGAATTATTACTATTGCACTCATAGTTAGTCAGACCACTTCAATAGCTGTGAGCCAGCTACATTATTATATTGATGTTCTCAGGGATAACGGTTTATTCATTTTATTCTAGGATAGTTTAATTATTTTCACTATGGTTAGTTGCATACCTAACTTACTGCAAATGTGTATCATATCTCCTCGACACCCTTTATTTGTTTACAACTTAACTTGACGCCTCAGACCCAAATTCGTATCGACTCCAACCTGTCGATCTTATCGAAACTTCTCGAGCGCGTTGTGGCTCGGCAGCTAAATAACTACCTTCATAAGTCAGGTCTCATGCCTCGCCTCCAGTCTGCATACCGTCGTCACCACTCACTCGAGGCCCTCATGGTGGCGCTTGTGCTGACCAGACTGGACTATGGCAATGCCACACTCTACGGACTTCCCATCACGGCACTTAACAAACTACAATTCGTAATGAACGCTGCAGCGCGACTCGTTTGTGCCCGGCGGAAATTTGACCACGTGACACCGATTTTGCGTGACCTTCACTGGCTGCGCATCCAGCAGCGCACGCAGTTTAAAGTCGCTGTTCTGACGCTCCGCTGCCTCCATGGTTTAGCACCACCTTATCTCGCTGAAGGCCTGCGGCGCGTGTCGGATCTGCCTTCTAGAAGGCGACTGCGTTCCTCGTCGAAGGCTGACCTCGTCGTCCCGTCCTCACGTCTGTCCACAGTCGGCGACAGAGCGTTCCCAGTCGCTGCGGCCAGAACATGGAATGGTCTGACAGCATCGGTGACATCTGCTTCTTCGCTGCCGTTGTTTCGTCGACGCCTAAAAACAGAACTTTTCCGTAGAGCCTTTAAATCTTAGACCTAGCCGTCATCTAATCTATTATGTATATTACTGGTTTAGCATAGGTGTTGTTTGTTCTAGCATAGACGTCGTCAGTCTTGGCATATGTCCTTTGTTTTAGCATAGACGTCATCTGTTTTTATCCTCTCGTGTCTTTTTTAGCCACTTGTAACGTGCCCTCGAAGTTCGATCTTAACGAGACGCCACGACAATCTCTTCGTGGAATAATAATAATAATAACTACATTATGAAGATTGCGTGCTGAATATTATTTCTAATTTACTAAATTTCATTACTTCTGACGGCATTCAGCCTTCATAGTGCGTGCATTAATTAGGGCTATTAATTTCTCCCACAGTTACTGATTGCCCATCTTATGCTCCTTACGTACACTTTAATTCACTCTAGTTACCACCCAACTTAAAATCAATCAAGGTTCTTGCTTAACTCATTCTTTCCGGGAATGCTGTGTAATTATTCACATGTGATGACAGCCCATAATCCAGTATACTTAAAATATACCATTGTTTTACTATTCCACCAAATGAATTATTAAGGTTGCCAAAGACATAAAGTGGGTCCTTCAGACCCCACCCGCATCCACGCGCCGGCAACATGCATTGGATATCTATTTTAAGGGGAGCGTCTACCCTAAAATTGAAAATTTTCACTTTTTCGGTTTTCATACTAATTTTAAAGCTGACATTCTGCCCTATCCAACGGTACCACTGCCATCTCTCTACGTTGATTTATGATTTCACGACATTTCATGAAAGGGGGGCGGGTGGGGAGTTCTTTAAGTAATTAGATAGGAACTAAATTCAACTAATTAGCTGGTGAGCTCTTTATATATAGTGTCTACTTGAGTTGTGCTGCATTTACGTGTTTAGTCTCATCTTAAAGCTGACATTCTGGCCTATCCAATGGTACCACTACCATCTCTGTACGTCGATTTTTACGTACACGATACTTCATGAAAGGGGGGCGGGGATGGAGTTCTTTCAGTAATTAGATATGAGATAATTCGCTGTCCACCACTACAAATATAGTGTTTTTGTGAGGTCTGACTCAGTGTGCCTCCGGGCTTTGTAGGGAGAGATGCGCATGTAGTTGCTCCCATCATTTTTGAGTGGAATCAAGCTCCAGAAACGTTTAGTTTGGTATCTATGCTACATTGAGCGCATATTGTGGTGCGCGCGGGACTTTGTCGCGCTCTCCTCAACATTCACACTTATTGTCAACCCATCATTCTTGAGTGGAATCAAGCTCCAGAAACGTTTAGTTTGGTATCTATGCTACATTGAGCGCATATTGTGGTGCGCGCGGGACTTTGTCGCGCTCTCCTCAACATTCACACTTATTGTCACGGAAAACCTATCTCCTCCTAGAGTTTTGAAGCTACAACAATGAGACATACACCATTCGATTTGCAAAGAATAGATCTACAAAATGACTTGGCCGTTTTTTCAATTTCGTCATAATTTGGATTTTATTCCTGAAAAAGGGGGGTGGAAAGGGGTAAAATCGAAAAATTTCCGAAAACTTTACGAAAAATGCTCCCACACCCGCAAAAATTAGAAATTCAAAAAACGGTTAGGTCGTTTGATGGATAAAGATTTTACGCATCGAATGATATGTGTCTCGATGTCGTAGCTTGAAACTCCTAGGAGGAGATAGATTTCAAAAGTACCCCCTTTTTTGACCGTTTTCTATGAATTTCAAGTTTTCTTTCATTTTTTTCGAAAAATTCACACGAACAAAATGTGAGTTTTTTTCCATTTTACATATGTGTATCAAGTTTCAGAGTGATCCGTTTGTAAATAGCCGAGATAATTTTTGTGGTAGACGCTCCCCTTAAATATAATAAATGTAATTAAAATAATATATATGATTGCATATGCATTAAGAGCTAGCCGTCGAATAATACACTATCAGAATGGAAGATTCAAGCTTCAACTAAAATTTTTATAAAAGCGGCAGACTATTAATGAAATGCATGTATGGTACGAGGCAGGATATATGTAAATAATATACTATCAGTGTATGCTATTCAGGCTTTAAACTGAAATCCTTTAACAATAGAGGTTGACAACTAAGTGAATATTCGGTGAGAACTAGCAGACAGTGATACACATTATGCCTGCGAAACCTGAGATTACAATGAATGAATATATAATGCTGGATATATTTCCCACATGGGTGGAAAAGATAGGCGGTTCCCTTATCTGCATGAGTAAGGATCGTAGATGGTTCATTTCGAGCTTTCCTCATGAATTTTAGTTGCTTATAGATCTTACCTGTTTGAGTCAATCAAATGGTTTTACGTCCTGCCTTGGTTAGGATCGTAGCTATATTTATACATTCAAGTTGGCTGAGGAGAGTCGGTTGATTATATATCCTGCATGTATACCTGGGAGAGGAGGGGAAGTTAGATTTATTTCCTACCTACCTACCTAGGGGGTATTGGTTGTCTTTCCTATACCTGGGTGATGTAGGGCAGTTGTTCGTATTTCCTACCTGGGTGAGCAGAGCTGCCATGACGATGAGACATGATATGCTGACGGTGAGTCTGTCACTTAGGTTTTCCAGAGGTATGGCGAAGACGCTGAGGCCAATCAGCTCCATGACGAAGCACGGCAAGAAAGTGACAAGGATGTCACTGCCATAGCGACGTGCGATCCGTAGCTCGAACATCATCTGTATAGCGTGACAACTAATGTAGAATTTCTCGCGAACTTACTTCGTAATGTTAGTGATAAATGTGGTCCAATATATTTTATATCTCCAAAGAACCTTTTTAGTCCTGCTTTTTAAGACACTGTGAAGCTTCGGTTTGGATTACCGCGACCTCTCATTTTCGGTTTCAGAATCACAAGACTTTTCAACTTATTTCATGTGAACGCAAGGCATCTTACAAAAAGCGTCAAAAGACACAGAGTGTCTGCAATCATCTACGAATAAACAAGGGACAAGTTATAACCTGCCTGAAGTCGCCACAGTCCCCCCCTTTCTTCCCCTCATAAAGGGGGGAAGGGTTAGGGCATTTTTTAATGCATTTCTTATATTCGGCCGTGTCTGTCCCGAACGTATCAGGTACCAAAAACGCGCGCTCAGCAGTCGCCCGATGGTTGTCAAGAAGTAGACCGGATCCTAATCATGTGCTTATTTCCCTCGTACAACCAGAACCTAACGTGGACATATGGCCGCTAATTTACACTGCTAGACGAGCTTGGGGCGTCTTTGAGCCAGCGGCTGACAGGAATAAAAATTTTGATGGGGAAGGTTCTGACCGTTTGTTGATCATCCTGATTGGACTTCTTCTTGAAGTAGATGAACTGGAAGAGCTGCAGCGGCGAACCGATGTATTCCAACAACTCGTCTTGAGACAACGACCATTGAACGTCCTTGGAGTTGATCTTCCCTCGAAGGGTCAGGTTGAAACGGCATGTCTGTTTAGATTAATGGAGTAAAATATTAACGTTATCAGGGTCAGATTGAAGACGCAGGTCGGTTTAGATCCATGGTGAAACGCGAAAATTATTAGCGTCAGGGTGAAGTGGAAGATGTGTCCAGATCGAAAGTGAAAGGTGAACATTATTGGCGTCAGGTTGAAGTGGCTCGTCTGTCCAGAATTCTAGTGAAAGGCGAACTAAATGAACGTTAGGTTGAAGAGGACGTCTGCTGTTTAATTTCATTGATAAATGAACATTTATTATATCTTTAATAGTGTTTAAAATTATATTCGTTGTCCGTAGTCAAACATTAGTGGTCACGGCACATAGATTAAACTTAAAAAATCGAGTTATGTTTGTGACTTTGTGTGGATGTCAAATTAATTAAAGACAAATACATGAATTTTTGAAGGTTCGACTGAAACTGAATTCATTGCGTTCTGACATATCGTCGGCAGACTGACCCCTCTGAATATCCGCGGAATTATTTTGTGCCAAACAAATATCCGAACCCACCAGTCAACCTTACAATGAAATGACTTTTATTACTGATTCTTTAAATTAATTCGTAATTAACGTTATTTAAACGTCCTTTGCTTGGCGGGAAGACTCACTTGGATATCGAATGGGTAGATGTAGAGATCCATTGGGCACATCAGCGTCACAATTGCTGACTTCCGATGTTTGACGAGTACGTCCTTCCCTGCATGTTCTATCACTGCAAATTGATACAAAAAGTTAACCTTGATTATAAATGATATTCGAGCCATTAAAGCTAGAGCTTAATAAATAATGACATTAAAAATATTTGTTAAATCCATATGGAAAAGTTGAGTGTAAAGAAATCCTTGCAACACGATTTTAAAGGTATCTTTTACGAGACAATCTAATGTGTCATTCATATGAAACAGTTGAGCGTGAAGGAATCGTTGCAACCTAGTGTTAAACGTATCATTACGAGACGGTCTAATGTGTCATTCATATGAAGTTGTGCGTAAAGGAATCGTTACAAAATAGTGTTAAACGTATCATTACGAGACAATCTAATGTGTCATTCATATGAAGTTGTGCGTAAAGGAAACGTTACAAAATAGTGTTAAACGTATCATTTACGAGACAATTGATCTAATGTGTCATCCATATGAAGCAGTTGAGCGTGAAGAAATCGTTGCAACATATTGTTAAACGTATCATCTATGAAACAATTTATCTTATGGGTCATCCATATGGAATAGTTGAGCGTAAAGGGATCGTTGCAACATAGTGTTTAACGTATCATTTAAGAGACAATTAATCAATCTCGATAATCACATTCCAGCCCGCAGGCTGAAAAATGATAATTTATTTAAACTAACTTAAACTTATGAGAGCCGTTGATTATTGAGCCCATATTTTAATCGACTTATATGAGACGCGAAGCTAGAAGCAATGTTATCCNTGCAGACACAAGTTAAAAATAGTAAATGAAATTGCAGAAATGTTAGACATGTTTGGCAAATGCGTGAGTCTTCGCTTCCATCCACGGGTATTATTGATACTGTGGATATTCATATCGACAAATTCAGTGGTATTAAGTTGAAACTAATAAATCATAGTCCGACTAATGAACATTGTCCGACAATACAATCTATACCTAAGTTAGAAGTGATGGAACCATAGCCCGACATGATCTTATGTTAGACAATGTAATCTCTGACTCTACCTCAAGTTTATCTAATGTTAAAAGACAATGTTATCACTAGTATATGAACTCGTACTGCCAAGGTTGACCATGTTGAACTGATTGCCTTCCTTCGCCGTGAGGCTAAGGACGTCGTCGTTGTATCGGCGGTTCTTCAGGTAGAGCCAGAGGCACAAGCTCGCCTCGGTCGAAGGTTTCCCCAGGTTCATTGGAACACTCACGTTATACATCATCTTATTTTCGGTAGCCTGCACTTTTTCGTACTGTTGACCGTAACTTATTGCCGAAATGATATCTTCTGCCATGAACTCGATCATGATGACTTCATTGGGTTCTGTGGAACGGTAAACGACAGTGCTTTGTAAAACATTATGCCTTTAGCCTTATTTTAATGACTTATAGCCTTAAGTTAATTATGTTATGTTATTTATATTGTTTTTATGTATTAACATAGCACATTATGTTAATTTTCTTGACCAATATCTCAAGAGAATTCAAATGAAATGTGAATCAGATCAAACAAATTTTTCCTATATAAATTTTCAATTAATTGAAAGGTGTTTAGCTTTGTATTAATTGTAACTCCCGAAGGATTTTTTGTATTCGTATCTGTTTTGACATTGTTGATTTTTTATTGTCAACTTGTGCAATGTGCATTCAACGATGATCATAACTTTTACGGAAGCTTTTGACAATGGCTATCGATAGTTTATCATGAACATCGGTTCTTGAATGGTTGCAAAGTTAAAGTTATAAATTAATATTTTTGATATTTTACATCTAATATTCTAGAAAAATTATTGCAAGCCACTGAAAAATGATTACGTGGACGTGAATTACTCATTCAATGCAAACTTTATTTTAAAATCCGCAAAAAAATTATCCGCAAACATATAATCAGAATACTATATTTTTGTAAGAAATCTGTCAATGTTACTCGTATTCCACATTGCATTGGATGCACTCAATAATTCTCGAAGCAAAATGTAACTACACACTTAAATTTCATATATTTACTTCACTCACTGAGGTCAGATACAGGATTATCCTGTAGATCGGATCCCGTAGTGTACGCCAATCCCGAGACGCTCAATCCCGGGACGTTCAATCCCGAGACGTTCAATCCCGTAGTGTACGACAATCCCGAGACGTTCAATTGTGTTGGTGCGAATGTTTGAGCTCGACACGCACGAGCGAAGAGCAGCAGAGAGAGCAGCCGCAGCAACTCCATCATCCTTGCTGCTTCTCTTGACTATTTCTACTTGTTTATTATTATAATTAAAACAAAGAGATGAATTAAACTTTTGTTACATAATGAATTTTCTCAGTACGCCAAAAATTTGAACTACATCTGCAGAGATGAAATTTAAGTCCTTATTTGTTCAACGTGCTCTATATGACTTCGACTATATGACCATAAATAATTCATCCATGACTTAGCGGCTGATTTCTAGCCTGTGTCGTGCCGTGCCGAAATCGCGGAATTACCGATTCTATGAAATCGGCAGCCAGTTTGCCGAATCTGTAGAATCAGCATTTCGATACTGATTCAGAAAATCTGACGGAGAGTTATAACATAAATCGACAGCGTTAGAAAAGGTTAGGTCGAGTTCGGTCATGTTCCTTTTTATTTAAATGTTAAAAAATTGTCTGACTGACCTAACACCAGATTCCTATAGGATAGAAATGCTGATTTTAAAGATTCGGTAAACTGGCTGCCGATACCATAGAATCGGCAGTTCCGCGATTTCCGCACGACATATACAATTGGTGGATTTAGCTTGAAAAGCTGTCAGTACGTGATTGGCTGGCGGCATTACAAACTCGTAACTATTTTTGATTACACGAAAATTGTGCAAATACATTTGTGATTAGCAGACATCAGAAATTGACGCTGTCATGAGATTTTATGTTGATATTGATATTTTTATTTAAAGTTGAAACAATAATCATGCGGAAATAAACATCAAATTGAAATCGGAAAGCTGACCAATAACATAATCGGTAAAACTCAAACAAACTCGAACTCAATATATGGAAACGACATGGATTTTTGGCTAATTTTATGTTCTATTGGAATAATAAAGGTAAAAATGATCCACATCCACATTGCTACGATATAGCACCATGTACGCGATAACCGAAGGTCATGCTACCAACGATTGATGATGATAGAAAAATAAATATTTTTTAATGTGTAGTTCTTTAATCAGCAACCAAGAAAAATTCAATTTTATCTGCATTTCAACATTGCGCTGAAGTTCCTACGTCAACGTGGAACATCACCTGCGAAGGTAATAACATAGTAGCCTTTTCTACCTTGAAGGTTAAACTTCGATCAAAAATTATTCCTTTCTTTAGAGTAGTTGAGGTTCTTATAACTATATCTATGCACGGCTTAAATTAAACGATATTAATATAGAGAAATTAAAAAACCTGATATAGGAGTGTTTTTTTGGCCGATTTTTGAGCCTTTACTGGAAAATTAAAGCAAAAACTATTGCAGATGATTGAAGCGCTAAAATGCCACTTCGCCAAAAAAATTAGTAATGTGACAAATTGCATTGGAAAAGATCTTAAATTTTCAGCAATAAGCACGGTAAAAACAATCCAATCTTGCACAGTGACGTAAATTGGATGGTCCAATATAACGACACGGCTTAAATATTCATACTAATAATACCTCTGATGACAATGATTAGAACTACATTGTTTCTCAAATATGATTCTTTTCAAGGAAAACATGCCAGGTAAAAAATTGATGCCAGGACAAAAACTTATTATTCAACGATAACCTTCACTTGAAATTATGTGAAGCTGATGTGACAAGGAATATCCATCTCTCTGTAAAGCCTGAGCGCACAAAGGATAATAAACAACAGAAATTTTGAACCCTCCTAATCGGTTTGGCTGTCAAGATTCTTCGAAATGTTCTGCAAAAAATCTTGGCCTTGGGTGAGAAGTAATTTCTTAAATCGGCACGAAATTGCAGACGTCGTGACAAAGAGGTTCGCTGCCACCGAACTGCAAAAAGTTGATTGAAGCTGTCCGTTCGTGTGCCGATGCTGCGACACACGAACATTTATTGACTTACCTGCATGTTAAATTATACCTTTCATTCTAGTGGTCGTGGAAATACAAAGAGCCTTTAGAGTTTAGATCATGAAGAAGTGATTCTTCATTTGTTAAAAGCGTTCGTTGTTTTCACTCCATCACAACACAGATACTTGCGTTGCCATCAGCACACATTAGTTAAGTATCTTTACCACCATCATAAATATCCATGCCTTATGTCGCCAAGCGCACCATCAACAACACACACGATATATAACTTAATTATGATTAACTTTATTAAATATGTGAGGTATTACAAACGCTATAAATAAATCTCGTGCAGAGCTTTTTAGAAGCAAGGATTTGACTTATTTTTTTTTTGTTAGATGAAGGCATTTATGACCAAATCAAGAAATATCTTGTTAAATCTAGATATTTCTGGATTAATCATGAAGTTTTAGTTAAATCATGAATTTCCAGTTATAACATTATGTTTCCGGTAAAATCATGATATTTCTGATTAAGCCAAAATATCGCAATTTCTGTGGCTATTTGTGATTTCCTGATGTGAATAGCGCGAGTAGTTATTTTAGTCTACTAAATAATTGATAATAATAAGACTAAATAGTAGTTAGTTTCAACCAAATAAATAAATAATAAATTCCTACGGTGTGACCAAAGATACTAAAGTTTCCAAACCGACCACTGAAGGACAAGATAGCGACAGGGTGAAGTGTATCGGTCTAGATCTAGTTGATCTTGACCGAGTTGTCATCGTGGCTACAAATGGTCAGTGAAGCATGTGAGATACTTGGTACGTGTGAGATGAAGAAGTAACGCGAGGTGTCACATCTTGACACAAAGAAGTAACGCGAGGTGTCACTTCTTGACACAAAGAAGTAACGCGAATGTCACTTCTTGACACAAAGTAGTAACGCGAGATGTCACTTCTTGACAC